AGTTTTAGTGCACCTCTCTTATGTAGAAGAAGCCATGATGAGAGTTTGTTCTCTCCACTAAATTATCCTTGACAAAAGAAGGTTAAATGATTCTTGCATGCGATAGTGATTTAAGAAGATCTTGTGGCAATAGTACTCGAAAGGAGAACCAAAAGTTATTAGTAAACAGGGAGAATTCAAAGCTATTTGAGCGGAAGTATGTTGGCGATGGACGATCGAGTTAAAGTTCGTTGGCAGTCAACAACTGAGTGTAGAGCTGAATGAGAAAGTTTGAGGGTGTGTGAGAGAAGCCGATGATGACATATATAAAGTGAATGATCATCAAAAAATATCAAATGAAGGGTCGATGATGATGGGTGTCCAGTGACATTTTGCTAAAGCAATATTCATCTATATTAAAGTGTGTTGACATCAAATATCCTTGAGTTAAAAGGTTGAAGCAATGTGTTATGCCAGCATTTTGGCAACACACTAACACTATTAAATTAGTGGAGGCCTGATGATGATTAGGTTATATCCTTTCTTTGAAGAAGAAGTTGTAGGAGATGCTTTAATACATAATAGAGAAGAGGTCACTTGAATCCATGAAGTATATTTAACCATTTTGAAGTTGTTTGTTGCTTGATGATAATCGCAAGTATGAATGACGCCACTATACTTTTTAATTTCAATTTCAATTTCTAGTAAGAATAAATATAGACTTGAATATGATGTTGGATTTATGTAATTCTATTGATATTGTATAAGAAGTTGAGAACTTGTCTATCGGAGGAAGTTGAATTATTTATGAATCTTTGAGACATACTTTGATATGTTACCCCCATATTTTTTGAGGCATTTTTAGACTACTAAGGTCTTTATATGAGTGATAATTTTATCAATCACCTTTATGAAATCTTTTTTAAAGAGAGCGTTGTCCACTCAAAGCATTGCTCGATGATGTTGACTTCTGTGAAAGAGGTCAAGAGAATCTACCAAGGATGTATGACCTATCCGGGGTTGTATGTCAAAGCCATGCTCGATGAAGTTAACCTATATGGAAGAGGTTGAGAGAATTCACCAAGGATGTATGACTTATCCGAGGTTGTATGTCAGAGCCCTGCTCGATGATGTTAACCTGTGTGAAAGAGGTCGAGAGAATCCACCAATAATGTATGACCTATCTGATGTTGTATGTCAGAGCCTTTGCTCGATGACATTAACATGTGTAGAAGAGGTTGAGATAATCCACCAAGATGTATGACCTATCTGAGATTATATATCAGAGCCATGCTTGTTGACGTTAACCTGTGTGAAAAAGGTTGGATTGAATCCCCCTGGGATTGATCATTCAGTGATTGAGACATAATAAATATTGCGTATTTCTCAAATCATTGATAAAAATATCATATTCATCGGTAGTTTTTATTATCATCATTTTTTCATTTTTAAAGAATGGAATAATATTAGAACTAACTAAATAACACATTACCATATTATATAAAACAATATAACGAGTCCCTAGTATGACTTAGGGACATACAAGTTACACTATACTCAATACATAAGATATACGTACGGGGATAACATAATGTTAGACTTAGAAGATAACAATAGAGATATCATAGTGACATCCTATTCAACATATAAGAGACACGATACAATAAGACAAGTAGTATTACTAACACAAATGCACAAACTACGTGGTCGTTTAATTTCACCAACCATTTGAATATTATTCAATGGTTGCCTTTGTTGTTGTTTATTTTGTCCCCTAGTGAGACCAGCTTCATTTCGAGCAGGTGAGTTTTGGATGAATGTTGGAGATATCTTTGTCGGATCAGTATCTCAATCTCATCTTTGAGCTGTCTGCAAGCTTCAGTAGTGTGTCCACGACTGCTATGGAAATGTTAGTACTACTCCTGATTTCCTATGTTCGGCTTTAAAGCATTAAAGCATTATGCCACTTAATATTTTCTTGATCTTACATGGCCATCAGTACATTAGTTCGAGATGCGTTGAGAGGTGTATACTCTTCCTCTTGTCGAAATCCTTGTCGTGACAATGGCGGTTTAGGAGGCAGGCCATTCTTCCATTATTTCTTTTTTTGCGAGAGTGAGTTGTCATTATAGGAACATTTTTGCGCTTTCCAAAAAGTTGCTCAAATTGCTTCTTGTGGGCATTGATATCTTCATATACTGATATTTGTACATCCATACATTGGATTATGTTAGCATATGAAGTAATCATGTCTCGCATAAGTGCCAAGTAAAAGGGACTAGGACAAAGGCCTCTAAAGAAAACTTTTCTTAGCAATTAAAGATTTGCTCCTAGAATTTGTCGAGATTTTATGGAAAATCACTGAAACTACTCTTATAGTGATTCTTCTTCATTATGGTGAATTCTAGAAAGGTGGGAAGAATCCTTAACAATTATTCGATTGATAACAAATTATTCAATGAAGAATTTGGCCAATTTGACAATGGTGGAGATTGTTCCAGCTGGAAGTGAATAGAATCACATTCGTGCTTGTCCCTTGAGGGTAGCAGAAAAAACTTAGCATAGGAGTGCATCTGAGGCTCGCTGGATATGCATGATGGTTGTATAATGATCGATATGCTCGTACGGGTTAGATGTCTCATTATAAGAATCGATACTCGGTAGTTTGAATTCTGCTAGAATGGGGTGTTGAAGGATGACTTCGATCAGGGGTGATGACTTCTATTAGTCCCACTAATGATAAGATTGTCTTATACCTCTTATGGGAAACTCTTCTTGAATAAATCTTCGTAATTCATGATGTAGGGCGTTATGAGGGAGTTCAACAATATGCTGTTAGACTGAGTTCTCGGGAATGTTCGGAGGGATGCGAGGTTGGTGACCTGCGTGTCATGAAGGATGGGTAGATCTTGCTGTGTCAGCAAACTTATTATCTTGATGTGTCGGAGGATGCATCCTTGGCTGAGGAAGGGGAATCTCACCATGAAGATGTTCGGGTTGAACATCTTCGAGCCTTGGTGGATCTCACGGGAGAAGAATCTGTTATTGAGGTGCTAGTGTTAGTCGTCGAGTCTCTCGCAGGAGTTGAAGGATATCATTATAAGATTTCTTCATCTTTCTAATAAAGTATTATAGGGAAGGTCCTAAGGTTCCTTCTCGAGTAGCATTTTTCCTCCCAATATAAAAAGAGTTAGAAATTAGGCGTCCATGATTTATAGAATGATTCCTAGATTAGTGAGAGTTGGAGTGGAAAGCTCCCAAGATATGATTGCTACACATGTTGGTCATCGAAGCAATACTTAGAATTGTGAGATAGTGTTCCCACAGATGACGCCAAACTATTCCAGGCAAGAATATACACAGCGATATAGTTAGAATTTTTTGTCTCAGTATTGTACGGATATTTAGCACACAAGCAGAAGAGAAATAAAATACCAGGATTTTTACGTGGAAAACCCTATAAAGAGAAAAACCACGGGGCCATGCCTAGTTGAAAGAATTCTACTAGTGTTTGCTTGAGTTACAAAAGGATGACTCATCCTTAAAAATTAGGATAATCATATTACAATGATCAGCTCTCGGGATGAAATTCAGTTGCAAACAAGAATTCAAAATTCAACGATATTGGGTGGTTGGACGGAATCCAAGAGTCACTGGGAGAATGGACAGAATTCTGACGTCACTTGGAGATCGGACAGGAATTTAGTGTCACTTGAAGGTCATGTAGAACTCCGGTGTCACTTGAAAGTTGAACAGAACACCGACCCGACGTCACTTGAAAGTCGGGCGAAACTCTGACGTCACTTGAAAGTCGGGCAAAACTCCGATGGTGGTCGAGGAGGAGCTTCTTCCCTCCTTTTCTTCTTCTCTTCCTTCTTCTTCTTCTCTTGAGTCCTCTCTTAAGAGAAATGAGGGGCTATTTATAATTTTTTGAGAGTGACATGACCCGTAAATAGGGGAGGATGAAGGGCAAATGTGGAGCTGTTTGGATGGACGACCAATATTGAATCCCTTGATTGTGGACCATTCATCAGACATTTGAAGGTCTTAATGATATCAAAAATCGATGATCTTAGACTCGTTGGATTTTTCTCGCCGAGTCGCTCGATTAGACTATAAGCATATCATGTTTTGAAACCGTTTGGTAATCCAAATTGTGGTTTGAACATTCCAATAGCGCTTATGGTCTTCGATTCAGACTCCTTTGAGCTCAAATTGAGTTGAATTTGATGTTGTTGGGTTTATATTCCGAGACGATCAGTCTGACTATAAGTTTGTTGAAACCGGAGTTCAGATGATACCATATTTAATTTTTGAAGTTTCCAATTTGATTTTTGCCTCGAGATTTGTGTCCAATCAAGATAATTTTTTTTCATGATATATGAATTCTTATGTATTTTTTTTCATTTAATAAACAACTTTTATTTTTTTAAAATGCAATTATTTCATAAAAATCACCAATTTTTAAATTTACTTAGTCATATTATGTTTGATATTTGAAATGAAATTTCAAGATTCTAAGCATTGATTTTTTTTAGTTATAATAAAGTATAAATGTTAATATTCTAATTTAATATCTAATAATATGAAAAAACTTTGATCACAATATTATTGTTCAATTTTGATCAAAATGAGTATTTTATTTATTTGATTTATGCTAAGTTAATATAATATTAAATAATTGATTAATCATATATTATTTTAATTTTTAACGAATACTAATGAATAAAAATTCATCTTAATTAAATTCTCATCATATTTTTTTATACAAATATTTTTCTTAATAATACAAAATAAGTATAAATAACAAAAAAATAGAGATATGAATGATATTAACTATTTAAAGATCTTTTTTAGTTTTATTTTGGACAATATTATAATATAAGTTGAATTAATTTTTAGTATAAATATTTATTAAATTAGATATTTTTATATAAAAATTATTTTAAAAGTTACTTAAAAACTGCCCCACAGGATGCATTAATTAAACCCCAAAAAAAATTTAAAATTTCCCGAAAAATTGGTCAAAGCCAATAAATGCTTTGTGGTGGATCTTCTCCCTTTCGCCTTTCTCCTCCTCTCCTCCGCTCTACCCCCCTGTAATTCGGAAAATTATTCTGTGCGGAATCCGAACGTCTCTATGTTCTCTTCGCCTTGAAGATTTGCTGATCAAGATTGTATTTTTATGATTTTGGACGAAAACTAGGGCTCAAGAATGCACCTGTTCTTCCGAGCTGAGAGATTATAGGGCTTTTTGTTTACAGTGTCAAGTTGGCTAAGATTTGTCTGAAAGCAGTCAGCGAAGATAACAAGTAGATCCCGCCCGGCCATGCAAACGAGGAGGGCCGTGAGGAATTCTCACATTTTTTCGGACGGGTTATTAGATGGAGCGGTGTCTTCTTCTAAGAAGGCCAATGGATACGCGACAATCCCGATATCCTCTCCTGCTTCGCTCGCTTCGCCCTCTTCGTCTTCTTCCTTCTTGCCGTCTGGCGTTAATTTCATCGAGCACCGTGTTACCAAGATGGATACCCTCGCCGGGGTTGCTATAAAGTATGGCGTCGAGGTAAAGTTGAGATGAATGTTGAATCCTGTCTTTTCTCCTGTTGAGCGATGCTAGTCTTTCTCAATTTGTTTCGGCTATATGATAGATTTTTAATATGGTTTATTATGGTGGATAAGGCAGCACAGAGCTCGATCATGTGATCTCCTCTCTCCCTCTCTCCAATTGTGCATTTTGATGATTGCTATGTACTCTGGAGGGTTCATATTAATGGATTTTTTTTTTGTTAATTCTGCATTTCTTATTTGAGCATATGGAATTTCTTAGCTGATATACCAGTTGAATTTCTTATTTCAGGTTGCTTAAAGAGTCTAGACTGTCTAGTTATTCCAGTTCTTGTTGCGATGCTTTTAATTGGAATTTCTTAGATGTTTAGGGGTGTGTGATGTGCATTGATAATTTTTTTTTTCAGGTTGCGGATATCAAAAGAATAAACGGTCTGGTAACAGATCTTCAAATGTTTGCTCACAAGTCATTGCTGATTCCTCTACCGGGAAAGCACCCCCCATCCCCTCTCATGTCAAATGGCTCAACTCAGAACGGGTATTCTGTTCATCCGATTTTTTTAAATTTGCATTGTTAATAAGTTTTTGGATGTTTTTATTTTATTTTATTTTGAATTTTATGTTTTGGCTTAATTGGAGTGTATAGTTTTATTTATTATTATTATTATTTTCTTTATTCTGAGGATTATATTATTGGTGGATTCCTAAAGCTGCTAGTTCACTTAAAAAAATTAACATATGATTAGATCAATTATATGTTTCCTTTTGAGAACGAGAAGACTTGTTTATTTGTTCTTCCATTCTTTTGTTTCTCTGCTCTGTACTGATTAATTCTCATTCCAAAATTTAGATGCTAGGAATTTTCTTAATTTAGGTTCGTTTGGAACTACTTTCTTACTACTTCTTAGAGCAGTTTTTTATGCAAGAAAACTACTTTAAGAAGCAGTAAAAAGCTGTTCCAAACAAAGCCTTAGCTTGTTGGTTTGAAAAATCAATTCACAAGTGCACTCATTATAATGTTTTGCACATGCCAACTGCGTGGGTTGATAAAAGCATCGTTATCTTCCTTTAGCATTTAGGCTATTCCTAGACTTAAATTCATAATATCCAATTCACCATTGGGGCAACATAACCGTTGTAGAGGCTCATGACTCTTATGCCGTCCAGCTGCATTAAATCCTCCTCCACCACCCTGCCCCCTCCACCTTCTTCTTTTCTACCTTTATAGGAGAAGAATGCAGTGGCGCTCTTTTTTAGCTTTATGATAATGCCAAGGTTCATATGTGTGTGGCCTTTTTTAGCTGTACTAAAGTGGGAATGACTGATACTTCTATACCAGAAAAAGTGCAAAAGCCCATACTTCCCTCTTTTGTTTTCTAACATCTAAGTGCAGATTAACTTAATTCATTTATTCTGCAATTTTGTTTTCCCGTATGTACAGAATACTTCCCTTTTTAAATTGAAATTATTCTTTTTTCAATCTACCTACAGTGTTATAGATTACATATTTCTTTAGTCGTATAGCCGCTTATGTTTGACAACTTTGGACGGAAAGGTTGTGGTAACTTCTCCTATGAAAGATAAAAAAAACTAGGTGCCATTTATTCATAACCTATTTTATAGATAATTTACTGTTGGCGTAGTATACATGTAATTTTAGTAAATTTATGGACTATGTTGATTTTTTTTTTAAATTTAATATGATGGGTTAAGTGGGGAAACTGATTTAGATGGCCTAGTTTTTATGAAAACCAGAAGTTTTCTTGCTAGAATTTCGAAGCCATCCAACTTTTGAAATTGCTGATGAAATGTAGGCCCTATGATTTATAAATGTAATCAATTAAAATTTTTATATTGGTGAATCATTTCAATTTATTTTTGAGATATACAGAACAATATGTTGATTATAGGTAGCTCTTCCAAATTTTACCATAATCCCAAACTGCCACATGTCAACAATGGACGTGCCCTTTGGTATTAGTAAGCATCAACTCTTTTGGCTGATAATTAACTCATCAGTGTGCACTTTTCATCATCCTTATTATGATTAATAATGAATTTAAACAATGATTTAGCTATCTTAACAATTCCAATTTCAAGTAGTAATATTCATCCTCATGACTTGTGTCAAAATTTTATTAAAAACTATCCAATTTGAAAGCATCAAGTTCATAACTCATAACCCTTGGATTGTTTTTTGGATCCTCTTTTACCAGTTTTTCAAATTTTATGAAAAAAACAATTCCTTGGATAATGTAATGCTAATACTTTTAGACTTTTTTCATTTTTCATAAATTTAAGATAATTTTAAGTTGATGATAAGTAGACCCGGTTAAATTTCAAATAGCCCATTGACTATTCATATATCGCAATTTTAGTCCCATAGTATAGTGTTGCTCCAATTTAGTTTCTCGTCTATAAAAAATTGATTCAAAATAGTTCTTTTGAGACTAAATTAGGATCAATTTTGTAAGGTCGAGGGACTAAATTTAGATCAATTTTATAAAGTTTAGGGACTAAAGTGAGATTAATTTTATTTTACAATTATAACATGAAGACTATTTTGGATCAATTTTATATAGTGGAGGGACTAAAATGGGTTAACGTGATACTCTGAGACTAAATTGGCCATACACAAAGAGTCTAGGGACTATTTTGGGATTTTTTTGTAAGTAGACTTGATAGTTGTCATTCTCATTTTTCTTAGCCATTATCTTTATAAAACATTTATTTCATTATTTTAACTCTTTCAAAGGGAAACTGCAATGTGATATGCACCTGATATTTAGGAGCTAAAATGTTATCATATGGACATATTAATAGCACTTTAATCTCAATTAAATGGATGCACCTCTTCCCTTGAGAATATTGCATTAATTCTATCTTTTGCTATTGAGATCTTAAAAGTGAGCATGACATTTCTATAGTAAGTTGGTAAACGATATTGAACAACTTCAAATTCCCTTTTCTATAGTTTGTAAGAATGGGGACCAGAACATCCTCCTTTGAGAAGTTCAAAGGTGTTAGTGTTTTTATCAAAGTTCATGCAAACTTAAGAGTGATTTTTGTAAACAAGAGCTCTTTGCTATGCCCATGGTGGCAGCGGAGGTGATTAAGCTTCTTTTCTCTCAGTAGCATAAATATTTAGTATAACTAAACTAATGATATACAGGTTGTGGATTTAGATGTTGCAATTTATCATGCAACTATGATTGTTTTGAAACTTGGACGAGAATCACATAGTAATATGGTAGTGACGATAGGGATAATAAAAAGTCCAAAATAGTCCTCTGACTATTCATACACGGCCAATTTAGTTCCATAGTATCGTATTTCTCCAATTTAGACCCTCGAATATATAAAATTATTCCCAAGTCCTAACGAGTCCCTAAGTGACCATTTGATATAGATTTTGTACAGTCAATGGACTAAATTGGGATCATTTTTGTATTGTAATGTTCATCAGTTTCTATTTGAGGGATTATTTGTGATCAATTTTGTATAGTTGAGAAACTAAATTTGAGAAATGTCACACTATTGGACTTAATTGGTCACATAAAAATATTCTAGAGATTATTTTGAGTTTTTTCTCAATGATAATATGAATGAAAACTTGTAAAATTAGTGATAGAGTATGTAGCATCACATGAATTAGGAAACTTCTTGTATCTCCATCTCATGGTGTTGGGGAGCAACAATATGATAGGAAATACTTTTGTCACAAGTAATCCTATCCCAAATCAGTAAAAACCAATAGTAAAACTGCTGTCCACGGCGAGAAAAGGGCAAGAAACAGGGAGAAATTGCGAGAAAACACAAGTAAAGGCTTGTATTCCACTAGGTGCAAAGCAAGATAATCAAGATACAATTGTTCTTCGATCCGAGAGGAAGAACGTACTCTCCACAATCTCCGGCGATGCCAAGAGCCCAAAACAAAACCTAGATCTCAAACGAAAATTCAAAATTCAAGATGAGGAGCCAATCCCCCCAAAACTCATAATTATACAAATTAATCATAAAGGACAATAATAGACTTCCTAAAACATCCTCTCATTCAAAAATTTTCCCTCCCCCCATGCGTTTTAGCCGCTGTTTGGGCCTAGCGGATCCCGCTCCTACGCGCGTTCCGCCTGGTTCCGCCCGACTTTGGGCCGTCGCGTGTAGAACCGGACCGGTCCAGCTGGGACCGGTCCAGGCGTAACATTGTATAGGTGTATAACTCAGGCTCAACATCATGCATTGGCATGATCTACTGCCAAGTTTGTTCATTAGGTTATACTTAGGATTGGACAATAATTTGACTCAAGAACACATACTAGATCAAGCTCAAGACGAGGAATAAATAGTTATTCAACATCCTTGACTACCTAAGTATGTGAAGGTAGTGGGATTGATGAGGCTAATAAAGATGGAGCTTATGGAACTAGAGGGGCTAGTAGGATGAGTGGATTTTGTGTAACTAATTAGGAAGTTGACTAGGTGAAGTTTGTGAATTGAATAGCATGTGCTATTGTGCAATATAATAATTGAGCCAGTGCTTTAAATCTTATCATTATTTATAATATTGTTGATCATATTTATGAGACTAGAGTGCATGAGAAGATCTCAGCATAGCACGATCTATTGTAAATATCATCTGGATGAGGAGATTACACTTAAAAGTATTCATAATCATAATATGATCTATAATAATGTTTCTAACATATATATGTCAAGATTCATCCATATATATATATATATATATATATATATATAATATATATATATATATATATGCATTTTCATTCGGTCCATCTGGCTTGTGGTTATTAGCAAATTTCCTAGCCAAGGATGGTTCGGCTAGCAGAAGTGGAAGCTGCAGCTCTAAATTTCATTTTGGGCATTTATGATGTTATTACAAGATATGAAAAATTTAGGAAGGATATGGCTATATATGGTAGGTAATCATGGGCAGAACTTTGCAAAAGATTATATATAGATTAGATTTAATTTGACTGGAGCCAAATTAAGATGATAGCTTAATATTTAGAGGATTTAGGTATATTAAAGGATTTGATTGACAAAAAATGGTGACCTTGCTTACTATAGAATCCAACGAGCCCTAAGGCTCTTGACATGCATGTGATGAAGATAAGTGTTTTGATATCTGGAATGGTTATTTGATAAAATTTGTAAACTGAAATATGTAGGAGTAAAAATAGTAGAAATTAACAAAGGACTACAAAATCAATTTGGGTCAATTCAAAGTCCGTAGATGAATTTTGCCTAACTTCTATGATATGAAACTTGAACTGATTTGGATTTAGGGAGAGCCTGTTCCTGTTATTTGACATATGGCGGACAGGCATCCAAACTGACAGTTTGTACAGGAGTAAAAACTGCCCCAGTTTTTTTACGTCCAAAGTGTTATATATATATATATAAAGAGAGAGAGAGTAATTCCTGTTGATTTTGACTAGTAAGAAATTAGATTGAGGACATTCAGTACTTGTTTCTGGTTTTTCACATGTGTATCATTTTTCCACTCTTAACAGCAAGCTGACTTGGTCTGCCTTTCTACTTGGGTTTTATATGTTTCTCATGTCTAGCATATTACTTTACGAGTCTTTTGAAAGTAGTTGGTTTAGAAAATATTTGACGTAGGAGGATGAGGGGAAGTGGAGAATTTGATGTAGGTTATGGTATGCTTCTTGGAATTACTCTATGGGTGAATATCTATTGATCCAAACTAATAGCGTTCATGGAATCAGACAACAAAAGATGATATCCTTTGTTTTGCAAACCATTGTTGAAACTCTAAATTCGTTTTTCTTTTCTTTTATTCATCATGAAAAAAAGTCAGTTCTCAAGCTTAGGCTGAATTTATGACAAATTGTCAACTCAAAAAAATATTAATAATGAGCATGCAGAGCATTAGTTTCAGTTCTTCGATTGTTCTTTTGGAGTTTCAAGAGCACTCCAGAGCAATTTCATATAATAATCATCATCCATACTTGAAGAAAAAAATTATAATTTATAGACTAGAACAAGATGTAGCCTAAAGGCTAAAAGAAGTGAGGGGCGATGTTCAATTATTTTTTTGATAAGTTCTTCGATTGCTCGAACTCACCTCTCAAGTTCTTTTGGAATGAGAAGTACACAAATGGAGAAGTTTCAAGTGCACTCGAGAGCAATTTCATTCAATAATCATCATTCATACATAAAGACAAAAATTATAATTTATAGGCTAGAACAAGATGTAGCCTAAAAGCTAAAAGAAGTGAGGGGCGATGTTCAAGCATGCAGAGGGGCTCCAAATTTGATAGCATGTGTTTGAAAGAGTTTGGTGTGGAGTTTGAAGGGTTTTGTAAGTTTTCTATGGGAAAAAACAATAAAAGCAAAATAATTCTAAGAGAGAGAGAGGGAGGGAGGGAGGGAGGGAGGGACATTCATGTCATGGAGGTGGTTGATGTGGATGTAAGAAAGTTGAAGTGATAAGTCAAATGGTGATATGAAGGTTAACAATTATAGTGGAGGTCAATGGGTGGTCAAAATGGGTACGGGCTCAGCTACGGCAAAGCACTGGCAAGGCTAAGCTTAAGCTAGACTCTAAAAACACTTGATACGTGACTTAACATGACTCACAACAAAAGCACCAAATACAAGAAAAATTTGTATATCACAGTTCCTTTATACAAGTTGATATGTTTCCATTTTGTTTCTGCTTTCCCATTACTTAGTTGAACTCCCATTGTTAAATTCATGCTGATTCATCATTTATTTTGAATTTGAAAAGTCTAGGTGAATAACAAATCATCGATATTTTTCCCTCTAGCCAATGATCTGTCTGTCTTTGTGGTAACAGCTTGCACAAACCTTCTCGACTATTTTTGTGCATTAGTCTAGCATTAGCTTTAGTTTAAGCATATTACTTATATTGCAGAGAGAAGACACCTCCTCGTCGGTCACATTATGATATTCTAAATTCACTGCAATCCCTCAAGTCAGAACCTCCTCCTCGCCGTATTTCTCCTGCAATGTGCAGTTTGCAAGGTTTCTACGACCTTACACAACCTAATAAAAGCATATTACCTGAAGGCACTGAAATGGCTATCAATGAGTTGGGAAAAACCCACCTGTTTGAAGATAAAAAACTTTCAGAATCATCCATCTCTGATCCAATCTTTAATCGACATCGAAAGAGCCGAAGTTTAGTGAATGTTATATCTCTTGAGAATGGAGATGTAACTGAAGACAACACGGAGTCCGATAAATCTATCAGAAGGCGTCAAAAGGCCGATGCCATCCCTTCTCTACACACACCCGGGATCCTACTCAAGGAAGAAAGCACTGTAGGAACATTATCAGGAAGAACAGGAAAAGGTTTGGCTTTGAGGCCAAAACCTGGGAGCAGGATAGATCTAGAAGCTCATCACCAAAACTCTTCATCGGTTATCGATTCATTAGCAGATGTGTTTGTTTCGGTTCGAAAATCATCTAGCACTTCAAACTTGACTGAATCTGAGAACAGTTTCTCCATTTGGCCAACAAGTAAATGGTCCTTGAAGCCTGATGCCATTACTAGGCCAATTTTTGATGGATTGCCAAAGCCTATCACTTCCTGGAGGAATAAAGCAGCGCTTGACTAGCCATAATATTATGACAGTTTTTTTTTTCTTTTTGTAATCAGGTTTTCAACTGGGGAAACCATACACACATGATTATATTTAATTGGAAGAGAAAGGAAAAGTGAGGTATAATAGAAGAATGGTGGGTGAGGTGAATAATAAGCATAGATGTACAATTGCATGTGAGAGCAGCTTCCTTCCTTCTAAGGTTTTGTGGGAGGAAATATTCATTTGTAAAAACAGTCACATTGAAAACTTGATCTGTAGAATCGATTGTTTCTCCTATATTAATTGTTGGATATCTGGGAGTTGATAAATTGACAATGTGAATTCAGTTTAAAGGTAATACTGAAATGAACTTCACTGGTTAGGAGGAACCATAGAACTATTCATGATGGTTAGATATGCGTGTTTTGCCCCTTAATTAAAATTTTGAGATTCTATTTGTCTTCTTTTTCTCCTGCTTTCTATTTCTTTTCTCAGATAGTCTCTTTTTCATTTTAATCCTCTTTCTTTTCTATCTTATCTTCTTCTCTTCTCTCCTCATAGATGGGGAGAGGAGAGTGAAAGCAGTTGAGATGAAGATGATACAGCGATCTTTTTATTATTTTCAAAAATTTTGTTCAATAATGTTAAAATCTATCAATATGATTATGTGATCAGTGAGATTTAGGCTCCATTTAAGATGACTTTCTTTCTGTTTCTTAAAGCAATTTTTTAGTAATTTTTATATTGGAATACTGCTTTAAGTAGTAAGAAAGTTGTCCCAAATGAAGCCTTAAGTTGTTCTATTATGTACTGTATTTAATTTAAATAGGACAACCAATTTTTGTTGAGCCGAAATGACAATGATAACAGCGATGACAACAATAGAAGCAGTATTCAAAGTACAAGATGAATTTTTATTATATACACAGCCACTCAAAATTATTATATATTTGATCATAAAATCTGACAATATTTAATTTTTCTTACAAATAATTTTTTATTAGGTGTAAATATACTGTGCTAATGTTGTATTTTTGTACAAGGAGATCTTTAGTCATTTTGCTAACAAACCCTGAAGAATGTACTGAGCTTTAAACCAAATTTTCTTTTGACTTGTGGGCATTTGAAACAAAATAATAACTACAAATCCATTCTTATTGACTTATATTGATTATTAGACTTTTTTTTTTCTTTTTTCTTTTTTCATGGCATTGGATGCTAGCAATTAAATCTTAGGCTAGCCTATTAATAATTTGGTCAAATTGGTTGGTGCCTTTGATATGTACAAGAGTAATTTTAAGAAGAAATTGTTTTTATTAAAATATGATCAAAATAAGCTTCATATCAATTAAATGTATCATTAAATGAGTGATATATATATATATATATAGTTATTAAGTTGTATTATGAAAAAAAAAAAAAAACAGTAAGAAATCTGTCACAAACGAAACCTAATTGTTCTCATCACATGCACTATATAGACATGTCATAGTCAAATTAAGAAGCAAAGGAATGGAATGATACAAATTTTACATTCTTATAGTCCTCAATAAGGGTAGATAGAAGATGGGGCTTACATTACAACTTGAACAAGAACAACAACAACAACATCAAGCCTTTGTCCCCCTATGTGGGGTCGACTATAACAATAATAATATTTTAAGGTACACAAAATTTAATTGCAGAGAATGATTTCTTAGAGAAATCATCATTGACAAGAGAGATGATTTTATCTCTATATATTGAAATGGAAGCGAGTTATGAATAGTCTAAATATTGCTGTTCATGAAAGAACTGAGAAGAAGATGTGATGATTCTGCTACAATGAATAATATTCCTCACACTTAAATTTTTTAGATTGAGAAGAAAACTATAGCTGAAAATATTATAATTAAAAGGCAAAGACTGCTAAGACTTGTTTATGTTACACTAAATATTATATTTATGTGGATTGACATGTTGTATGGAATAAGTCAGTGATCTAATAAGATTGTATGATTGAGGTTTTGTTTGGGTTGGCTTTCTTAAAGCAGTTCTTTAGTGTAAAAATTTTATTTTTTATACTAACAAGCTATTTTAAGAAGCAATAAGAAAGCTATCCTAAATGAAGCCTGATTAGAACAATCATTCATGTGGGCTTCGAAAATTCTTGGCCTCCCCCACTTTTGAGGGAGTTTTAACAGATTAAGTTTTAGGGTAAAAATTCAGAAGGAAAATTGGGCTTGAAACACTAACCAGAGATTTCGTCCTCATTTTGCAAGGACTTTATGATATGAGTTTGATTTCTATAGGCACAAGCCCCAATAGTTATTTACCCCTCCCGATCATGAAAGAGAACTTTTGATTAATGCTAGTCATCAAATGAATACATTGTATCCGTAGATACATGATATTAGGCAAATAGTAGCAACATTAGTTTTTGTATGTGGAAATTTAATATTTAAAATTAAAAATTTCACCATCTTGCACTTAAAGTGGATGGTGGGAGAATGGTGATAAGCATGACAAGATCCCATAGTTCCATCATCCCGGGCCATCATGGTACCTGGTCTACTTAGTCAGAGGAGGTAGTCGATCCAACTTGATAGAAGGATCCTTATCGGCAGCCATGCGTTGCTTCGTCCAATGGTACCTTGTAAACATGGAGTGAGTATTTGTCTGAGGGGATAAATTTGAATCTTTCTTTGCTAACAAAAGGCATTTTGTCCTATCAATCATATCTCAAGGATTTAATTCCATTGGGGAACATATGAGCTTTGGCCATGAACATAATTTAGTAGTGCCATTTGGCAGGAAACCACTCAGTCGATTCAGAGGGCCTTGGTCATAATTGTTTACCTGTGGTGCCATTTAGTGGCGAAAGCCATGGTGTGGTGCCATTTGGCGGTGAGATCACTAGTTAGAAGACACATTCCACATACTTATTGGCAAGAGACAGATTGAAAATGAATCCTAATGATATTTTTGATTAGTCCTTAGCTCTTTGGGAGTTGAAGTAGTTTTCATATTTGTCTACCTCAACAAACTATTGTGGAGGCTAGATATGTATTTTGCTTTAAGTGTTTGATGATTAATATTTTAGGTTCTGACATTTTTGGAATTTTTAAATATTTATAGGCATTTGGGAGGCATTTTAAATATTTGTGGTCCCCTTAGATTGAGATCTTCTGTTCATAGGTAGGGCTGCAAACAAACCGAACCAAGCTGAGTATGTGAGTGTTAATATTTGAGTTCATTTATTATTCGCTTGTTCAAGTTTGTTCATGTTTGATTCGAGCCTTATTATTTGTGTTCATGTTTTATTCATTTAAATTAATGGTGTTCATGTTCGGTTTGTTTAGTGCTTATCTAGCTTTAAAAAACAAGCCTTAATGAGCTATGCTCGTGAATATATTTAGCAACTATAAAATAAGCACGTTCATGAACAATTCTAATTAGTATTCTTGAGCTACCAAATGAGCAAGATCATGAATAAATACATAACTAGTATTTTTGAGCTACCAAATGAGTTCACGAACAAATGATCTATGATTCATTTTATATTTGTTTATGAACATATTAAACAAACAATCCAGCAAACATTGACAAATGTGAAATGTCTCTTGTTCATGAACCAATTCATTCTATCAAAGGTGTAAAATAAAATGAAATTAAATTTATAATAAAAGCATTTGTCTATTTAAAATGAAAAATATGATTAATCTATATGATTATTTTTATTGAGCTTATTAATGAGTTCTAAATCGAACACTAATCAAGCTTCTTAACGATCTCAATGTTGAGCTTGTTCACAAGCTTCAAATGATGTTGTTCGTGAACATAAATGAACCAAACACATTAGTATTCAAGCTTGTTTATTTAAGGACTGAGTATTAAAAATGTTATTCAAGTTTGTTTGTTTAGTTAGTTAAATGATCACAAACGAGCTTTAATCGAACAGAGCAACGAGTAGCTCATCGAACGTTTGGTTTGCTTGCAGCCCTATTCATAGGCTATTTCATTTTATGGGTTTGAACCTTGTCAACTTTGTCCAGTTGCCAACAAAGGATTGGGTTCAAATATACATTTATTTTTTAACCTATGCAACATCCTCAAACATAATGTGTTTTTACAACACGCTCGTCGGGGCCCATGTGAGTTTATATTGTTACATGTATACTGGATGATGTATTCATGTGTGTACTAAGTAAAATTTTGAAATACAATTGTAATGTAAAAAATGACATATTAGAGTGAAACCCTCTGCTTATGGTAAATGGATGCGGGGGTATATGGAATGTGATTTCAATGTCAATTGACATGCCTGAATGAAACCGTATATATTTTAATGATACATGCAGGAGGTCATTTTAAAATGCAACAATGATGTTGGATGACATGCTTGTATTCTATAAGTCACGACACGTGCATATGCAACATATTAGTTGATGGGGACATAAGAGCTTGAAGGGTCATCATAGAGGTTGAAGATCTACAATCTTGATTAATTCTTTATATTTTTAGTTTTTATATGTTGTAAGAGATTTATGTGGGGTTATTTATTTTATTGTAGTTTTACTCTCTCTTGAGGGAGCTTTTATGTTGTTTTGCCAATAACCTTCTTGTTTTTTGTTCCTTTCATGTTTTGGGTGCCTATATATATGGCCCATCATTTCTCTTTTATAGATGATGAATATTTTGATATAAATTTCTAGTTATTTACTTCCTCTTCTCTTAGTGAGTTAAGTTTGTGTGTGAAGTCCTTTGGAGAAAGGCAAATAAATACCCAACAATGTGTGAGCTCTTGGTTGGTATCATCTTTCCTCTCTATCTCTTTCTTCTCTTACCGTAGCCGCCCAAACAGCCTTCCACCATTGTAACAACTTACTGCCCTCAACCAACAACCACCTCCCTCCCTTCCCCTCTAATTGCCTCCACCTTATCCCCAACACCCTTAACCCTTTGGCTTCTAAATTATGTAATTAATTCATATTAATTGAGCATTTATCTCAATTAATTTTAATTATTGGAGATCCACAACTACTTTAACTTTTTCTCTTCCTAAGCAAGCCACATCAGCCCTTCCTCTTCCCCAAGTAGCCAGCCCCACCTTTTCACCTCCCAAGCTCACTTTTCCTTTCACAAGCCAACTAATTCCCTTCCCAGGCAAGCCACATCAGCACTTTCTCTTCCCCAAGTAGCCATCCCCCAACTCTTCACCTGCCAAGCTAACGTTTCCTTTCCAGCAAGCAACATCAATCCTTTCTCTTCCTAAAGCAACAAACCCCCACCTCTTCACTTCCTAAGCCGACTTCGTCCCTTTCAAGCCACTAAAATTGGGAAAATCATC